AGCTTTCGGGGTGGGAAGTGGCGGCGGCAGCTGCTGCCTCTTCTCCCTGGGTTGCTGCCTGTGCCTGGCTCAGCCCTGGGTGTCCCTTGGCAGGTTCCTGGGCTGGGATGGACCTGGTCTTGGGAGCTGCTGATGTGGCTCCTGGCTTGTTCCCTCCCTGGTTTTGGGGGGTGGTGCTGGGGGTTCAGCTGTGCAGGGAGGGCTCCCCTGGGCAGGACTCTCCTCAAGCCGTGTCCTAGGGCTGTGCTTTCCTCCTGCCTTCCTTCCTGCTCTGCTCCCTGGGACGTTTCACCAGAGCCCTCAGGTCCCTGGAGCTGCTGGAGGAAGCACCAAGTCTGGGCACCTGGGGGCTGGCTGAGCAGCAGCCTTGGTCTGGGTGGGGCAGAACTGCTTGGGAGCAGCATTGAGCTCTTCTGGGGCTTCCTCCAGCCTTGAAGGCCACTCAGGCCAGTTAAATGCCAAGTGGAAATAATTTCTTGGAGTAGCTCTAAAAACTTGAAAAGCTTTAGAGCTCATTAGGGGCTCTCACCTGTAGTGCAGGGTCATGGTCTGCATTTCAGGAGCTGTGTCTTCATCCTCAGCCCTGAGCGTGTCTGACTGTGCTGCTGTGTTCAGGTGGGACCTCAGGCTGGGTGTGGGGATAAGTGGAGCCTGCTGGGAGAGGGTACAAAAATTACCTTCACCAAAATGTCAGGCTAGGAGCTCCCCTGCCCTCCTACTGTCCTCTCAGCCCTGTGTGACCCTGCAGCCCTGGCAAGAGCTGGCAGAGCTGTTGACAGCCCCACTGAGGAGGGACAAGGTGTGTTTGGGTGATCCTGCATCTTCTGGGGCTGTAGGATCTGTGAGGTTTGAGGTGAACCACTGATATTGCAGTCAGGAGGTGGTGGCTGTGGGGAGGACCTGTCTGTGTTGGACTGTCTGCTTCTCATGGGAACCTTCTCTCTCTGTTTCCTTGGCTCTGTCTCTGCAGCCTTACCTGACCTGCTCTTCTGGCTATCTCTTGGCTAACATCAGCAAAAATAAAACCCCAAAGCAGCAGCTCTGAAGCCCACAAATCACAGCTGGGAGCTCTGCTGGCAGCCTCCTGGCTCCCAGGGCAGGGCTGATGTTGAGCCTCTTCCACAGCACGAGGCTTCTCCTCTCCTGGATCTGGCTGAGCCCAGTGAATTCCTGCCTTGGAGATAAGGCAGCAAGATGCTGCTCTAATGCAAGTCCCAAGTGGTGTTGCCCTGTTGAGATAGGATGTGATGAGAAGGTCAGGAGAGATTTCCTTGTGTCCTGAGCCAGAAGGAATGTTGTCTGGGCTTGGCAGGGTTCACCAATGCCATTGCTGTCACCTCCAGGCTGAGGGAACTGCTTGAAGCTGTGTGATTCTAGAGGGACATGGCCCTGTTCTGGGGAGTCACTGGTGTTAATGATCCCTTTTTCTCCCTCTCTGCAGTTCTGGCACAAGTCATGTTTCCACTGCGAGACCTGCAAGATGACCCTCAACATGAAAAACTACAAGGGCTACGAGAAGAAGCCGTATTGCAACGCGTGAGTGGCTGCCCGGGGGGCTGCAGGGCTGGGGGGTCTGCAGGGCTG